CTGGACTAAGGTGGCGAAGGCGGGGCCGCTCGTTCCAGGGAGCCCTGGGGACCCAGGACGGTGCGCAAAGCCTGGCCATCACAGCGATGGGGACTGCCGGGGCTGGCGCTGGGGAAGGACAGGCAGCCCGTGGTCGCCTCGGCCATGCAGAGGAGACTGGGACCGGTCTGCTGACCTTGGGCCCGGCAGACCCGAGGCGGAGAGCCGGTAGCAGGGCGGGCGTGGGCGGGGCAGGCTGGGCTCAGGTGGCAGGCAGAGACCCCACCAGCAGAGTGTCTTGGCTCTGGCGGCTGCAGGGGGGCCGGGGCGACGCCGGCAGATCCCTAGGGCCTCGGCCTCCGACCTCCTCAGCCACCCAGAGGCCGTTCTTGCAAGCCCTGAGGGCGGCTGCCCCAAGACTGGGGGCCACTCAGGTCTGTGGCCTTCTGGGAGCGGCCCGTGAGGCCGCTGGTGGGGCTCAGTGGCAGAGTCCGCAGGGTCTGGGACAGAACCAGCTCGCGTCCCGCCTGTGCTTTTGGGCCTATGGACACCAGCCGGGCCGGGCAGCAGTGGGCTGGCGGACAGCGTCACTGACCACTTGGCCGGGGCTCCGGGCGGGCACCCCCAGTGCAAGCGCTCTTGGAGAGGGCCTCCCACGTTGCTCCCTCGGGGACTGCCCAGACCGGCTGCTGGGCTCCGGCAGCTGTGCAGACGGTGGGGCCACACGCCCCCCACCGGGAGCTGGCCGCCCGCACCCCGCCCCAGGAGCCCACGCTGGCCGCCGGAGTGGGGCCCACGCTCCTGTCCGGCCCACACAGGCCCTGGGAGGCGGACTCCAGGCTGGATCGCTGAAGCTCTGTCGGCAGACCTGACCCTCAGGCACCCCCCGCACCCCATGCCCCCCAAACCCCCGTGCACACTTCCCAACTCCACGGGCAGGAGGCCGAGGCCGAGGGATGGGAGCAGCCCCTCACATCAGGCCGGCCGGCTCCTCTCATGTCCACTACTGCCAGGCCAGGCCGGCCTGCTCAGGCTGAGGCCACCCAGCCCACTGTCCTCTCCACTCCCTCCCGCACCCTCGGAGTGTCCACAAGGGCTTTGCTCTACAAGGAGAGTCTTGAGGCTGTCACCGGCCCTGTGGCCGCGACCGGTCCCCAGAGGGGCTGCTGTGGCTTGGGGCTCCTGCCCATCTGGGGTGCGGGCACCAGAGAACACGGCCCATACGGCTCCCCAGTGTGCAGGGGCAGGCGCCAGGGCTCTCCCTGGCCAGGGGCCGTGGGCGGGGGCCCTGCCTGGCCACTCCAGAGAGGAGGCCAGCAGTGCATGCGTGCAGGCCGGCCCACACAGATGTGTGGCCGCAGGCAGGCATCCCAGACCAGCTGTCTGGACGCAGGAGACACCCCTAGCCAGGCGGAGCCCCGCCTGCGAC